TATATATATATATATATATATATATATATATATATATATATATATATATATATATATATATATATATATATATATATATATATATATATATATATATATATATATATATATATATATATATATATATATATATATATATATATATATATATATATATATATATATATATATATATATATATATATATATATATATATATATATATATATATATATATATATATATATATATATATATATATATATATATATATATATATATATATATATATATATATATATATATATATATATATATATATATATATATATATATATATATATATATATATATATATATATATATATATATATATATATATATTTTTTTTTTTTTTTTAGATATTTTTCAAGACACTTCTATTCAGCTTAAAGTGACATTTAAAGGCTTAACTGGGTTAATTAGGTTAACCAGGCAGGTTAGAGTAATTAGGCAAGTTATTGTATAACGATGGTTTGTTCTGTAGACTATCAGAAAAAAATTTGCTTATAGGGGCTAATATTTTTGTCCTTTAAATGGTGTTTAAAAAATTAAAAACTGCTTTTATTCTAGGCAAAAATAAAACAAATAAGACTTTCTCCACAAGAAAAAACATTATCAGACATACTGTGAAAATTTCTTTGCTCTGTTAAACATCACTTAGGAAATATTTAAAAAATAAAAAAATATTCAAAGGGGGCTAATAATTCTGACTTCAACTGTATGTACAATTGTGTGTTTAATATCTAATTTCTGTTAAGAAACGGACCTTAACATAATTTAAAAATCATTAAAAAAATCTCATTCGATATGCAAAAATGCTGTTTGACCCCTAGAGCCAATCGATAAAATAATTACTTAAGCGGGCTATTAATACTAACCTCAGCAATTTTTAAATTAGAAAAATAAAGTAAAATAAAAAAAATAAATATTTAAATATAAATAAATATTCAAAACCAAACTAATAATAATAGTTTATTATTATTATTTTTATTATTGTTGTTGTTGTTGTTATTAGTTTGTTTTTTATTTATATTTAAATATTTATTAATATTTAAATATAAAAATAATTATTATTAATACTTATCTAAATAAGAAAATGTTCTAGACCAAACTAATAATAATAATTGTATTATTATTTTTATTATTATAAATATTATTATTAGTTTGGTTTGAATATTTTTTTAATTAACTAATTAATTTATTTATATTTAAATATTTATTAATTTATATTTAAATATAAATAAATAAAATATAAAATTAAATCTAAAAAAAAATTCAAGCCCAAACTAATAAAAATAATAACTTTATTATTAGTAGTAGTAGTAGTTTGTTTTGAATTTTTTATATTTAAATATTTATTTATATTTAAATATACATGAATACAATAAATAGTATTATTAATATTATTATTATTATAAATATTATTATTAGTTTGTTTTTTATTTATTTATTTATTTATATTTATTTAATTAAGTTTCTTGTCGGCTTAGTCCCTTTATTAATCTGGGGTCGCCGCAGCGGAATGAACCGCCAACTTATCTTATTATTATTATTATTATTATTATTATATTATTTCATATTATTAATTATGTGCCCTACAGGGTCGGTCCTGTATTTGGTGTGTTGGTTTTCTCTCTGTTATGACACGTTTCTGCTTATCCAGTCCTGGAATGAATCCTCTAAGAGTTTGTGGTTTCTGCTTTCACTGGGTCAGACAGACCGTACAGGAGTCAACATGAGGCCAGGAGCCTCCAGTTAGGATGCAGACTGTTTAAATGTGTCCCTGTGAAACGCAACACTCTGTAATTAGCAGGACAGATGTACGTCGTAATGCATGGCTGACATGTGGCTTCAGAAGAAAAAGGACCTAATAAAGACTACTTTATATTTAGCTTCAATAACTTCACTAGAGGAACTGTAAGCATATTTGTTCTGGCCGAGCATCAGTGTAGTGTGATAATGCTGCAATTATGCAACCAGCAAGTTTAAACACATTAATGACGGATCAGCTCAGCTTTATAACAAACTGTTCCAGTTCCTCCTGCTAACCCAATAACAATCCAGCAATTGCTCAACCTGCTCTACAATAAAAGCCAGTTAACAATGGCACGAAAACCACCATTTGTCTATTAACATTTTTTATTGATTTACAGTGTGATAAACGGTGCTCGAGACCTGTTTGTTAACGCTCGGAGACATGTAACGAGTGGCGCTCGCTTTTGTAACTTGTATACTGATGTACAGAGAGTCTCTGTAGGGTTGCAATCAGGTCTTGTACAAAACAGAGTAGGAGGTTTGACCCAGATCCTCCCTGCAGTATTTTTAGTGCAGGAGACTCAAAGGGCAGCAGTACAGGAAAGAGCTGAAATGGAAGACAAATGCAGAAAAGAAAAGAAGAACAAGGATGTAATGGCGATGTAGACCGAAAAAAACATACATTAGTGAAGTCAAAAAGTTTAACTTTGTTAGTGTTTAGGTCGTTTAATGCCTTGAGTATTAAAAACGTTTAATTAATTTGCTTAACAAAAATCTTTTATGATTGACAGCTTGTTCTGCGCGAACTAAATATGCTTTAATACCGTCCAGTCCTATATCAGAAATGCTACGGATTGCAAATCTAATTCAATTCTGTTACTACCGTGACACGTAAATGAGTGGGTGTGGCTATGTTTATTAGCGTTTAGGTCATCTAATGCTGAGAGTATTAAAAACGTTTAATTAATTAACTTTTAAAAATCTGTTATGGTTGATGGTTTCTTTCGCGCAACCGTCCAGTCCTATATCAGAATTGCTATGAGTTGCATATCTAATTAAATTCTGTGTATACTGTGACATGTAAATGAGTAGGCGTGGCTATGCTTGTTAGAGTTTAGGTCATTTAATGCCAAGAGCATTAAAAAGGTTTAAATAATTCGCATAAAAAATCTGTTATGATCGACAGTTTCTTCTATGCGAACTATATATGCTGTAATACTGCAAGTCCCATATCAGAAATGCTATGGATTGCATATCTAATTAGATTTTGTGTATAGTGCAACATGTAGATAAGTGAGCGTGGCTATGTTATTG